AAGGCGCACCGAAAAATCGACTTCTCCACCGAACCTTTTTTTTAAACACCCTAGCGCACAGCTGCTGGAAACCCAATATTTACAGTGTACATTAGTAATTTCCTTGAAAATGACGCAAATTTGCCGAAATTTGTGCAATAAATCAGATGAACTATGCTGCGAAAGATCGTGTAGGAATCGCCTTGTTTCTTTTTGCAATAGGACTACGTTTCGACAAGAATCAAAAAACGCAAGATGCAAATTTCATTTTTGATATTTTGCACCAATAAAAATCACATGTAAAGCTAGTCGAAAGGTGCAGCACGGGAAAACCTTGTGCCACAGCCACAAACCCAATATTTTTTGTGGATTATATGGTTTTACAAGGTGAAAAACGACCGATGAAAACGACTTCCTATCACAGCTGAAATTGTTGCTAAATCATTAGCAGCTATATTATTCTTGCTACGTGAGCACATGGTATTGCTCCCACAGCAATTAATTAGTTAAGACTGCAGAGAGCTTTGCAGAGGCAGCTGAAGAGATTGCTCTAACAGCAATATGTTTTGCTTACATAGCGAAAAATGTTAATGTGAATTGCTACTCACTCAGCAACGATTCCAGCTAAGACAGCTAGTCTTTTTTCTCCGTGTAGCCATTAAAACATTCTTAAAAATTTTATAAATAGCAATTTACAAAATATATATCATACTCGTACGAACATATTTTTCAGAGTGTATAAGGCAAGGAAAAAGAAGTAATGCAACTAAAAATACAGTATCAATATGTGTTTTAAGTCGCGCCCTACGAGAGCCACCTCGTCTCCTCTCTGCGGTACACCATGCCCCACGCCGCCGTCCCGCTGCCAGGGGCAAGGTAGGCCAGCCCGCAATGCCCGTGTGCATCAATCTTCCTACCGCTTCCTACCAGCCAGCAGGCGCTTGATCGCCACAGCCAACTAAGGCAATGCTGAGCGTTTTAAGTGAGTTCTTGCGCGGCCAGCCAAGGCAACCCAGCAACAAACAAAATGTAACGTCCCGTCACGATTGAACTGAACAGCACGTTTTTTGAACGGACTTTTTGTAGCGGTAGGCTTCTACAGAGGCTTATTCTGCACCCAATAAAGGAGGGTCTTGAATCAAGGAAATATCCTTGGAAAATCCTTGGTAAATTTCCTAGACCTGTGCTAGGAAATTGACTTGTTTTAAGGATATTCACTTGAGTCAAGAACCTCCCCTTTTTGGTGTGCACCTATGTAGTCGTGCGCTACCCCGGTCCGCACCATTACAACAAATTTTACTATATTTATACTCGTTTTGTTGCTCACTTTTATCACAATTCAATCCAATACGGAATTTCAAACCTAAACTTGGTGCAGACAAACGATTAAACTTGCAGTATATTTTACACGTATACAAAGAGAGCCATGGAAAGCAAAAGTGCATTCTGTCACTTAGTCCAAAGAAAAGGGTGGGGGGGGG